AGGGCTGACCTCTGACCTCCAGGGCTCTCGAGGCGTGAGGTCGAGATACACAAGTCAGCACAATGTAGGTCAGATCATGGTAAATGTGAACAGAAATAATTTAAGGGCAGAGATTCTAATTGCTGTTTATTTTGTGTCTTTGAATATGTTTAAATGCCATTGAAATTGAGACCAAGTCACCGTTAACCTTCAAGAATTACAAAAGCATATTCTGTCTGATATTTCACAGGAAAAAGAATTTTTAGCAAACTATTTCTTAAAACGGAGACCACAGAGAGAACCAAATTCTGCTTTCTGTTAACATGCTGACAGAAGATTTGGAAGTCCAAGTTCCTCAGAAGACGGGGAAAAGTGAGTGGCAGGAAAATGGCAGGCCCCAACCAACTCAACATTCAAAGTGCTGCCTGTGGTCTACCTTGCTCTAGGACAATTTTCATTCCTGGCCTGGGTTCTAAATCTATCCCAGCTGTGGGCATTGGCATCCGTGAGGTCTTGACAGGCAGCTGGGACCCTTCTACCCTTGTCTCTCCTGAGTGCTGAGAAAGTTCAGCTGGGCTGACTCCACTTATTCAAGAAGTTCATAAATAATCTTCTGTTGTTCCGTGTCTACAAATCCCTAGAAGATCAGGGAGCCCTAGTGTTTTGGTCTCAGTGTTCTCCTGTACCCTCCACAGGGGGCCAGCCAGCCTCTCCGACCTCCTTCAGCTGAGGCTCTTTGGAATGCAAGTAATGTCTTCCCAAGGAGTCTAGACCTGACCCTAATCCTAACCCTAGCCCTAGCCCTAACCCTAGCCCTAACCCTAACCCTCACTTCAACAGAAGCACCCTCACTGGTGGAGACCTTATAATCCTTCCCAAGGCTAAACTCATATCACACATGAAACTAGAGTTCTCCTAAGACAGGGGCAATACTTAACATTAATCTGGGTCTTCACAAATTTCGGAAGCCCTCTACCTTTAAGAAGTCCAAGATTGGGCAGCTGCATGTGCTGCTTCTCAATCAGAGTGGGCAAAAATACCCATGAAAGGTGTGGTCTTGCTTTATGATAATCCATCTTCAAAAAAAAAAAAAAAACAACTCACTCCCAGAAGAAAGGGATTAATTCCTATTAACGTAATCACCTCTTAAAGGCCTAATCAGCTCTCAGCCTATTCGCTACAGAAAACTTCAACCTGAGTTTCAGAAGGGACAAACCATATTCAAATCAGCACCTGCTCACAGCTGTCCAATCCATTCCTTCTCTCAACCTACCATGTGGCCCACACCACCTATTGTATCCTAACCTGATCCTAGGAGCCAACTAGAATTGCCTTTGTGGATTAAAGAAATTCTCATAGCCTTGTCCTACACCAGGATTTCATCACCATTTGCAGCAGTAGCTCCTGGAGGTGGGGCACCACAGGTTAAGGTCTGTGATGTGTTAGACCAGGCATTTAGACCAGGATTGCCTAGGCTTGCATATGAAAAGCGTGCTCATAGGTATATAGTTTCCCATCCTTAGGAATTAGCTAAGGCTGCCATTTGTGGAGTCTGTGAGGCCCCAAGATGTGAAATCATTAAAAAATATAAAAAACAAAAACATGATTAATACAGGTTAAAACTCTGACTCTAAGAGTAAAACATAAAACTCTGTCTGGAAGCTGGTCAGCACAGCTCACCTACCCAACAGTAGCAACGAGTGAAGTTGGGGGCCTGTATCAGTCTCCACATCTTGGGGCCTCCAGAAATGCAGGCATGACTTGAATGGGCTGTTCCTCTGTGTCTTCTAGAGTCCAAGAGATCATGGAGATAGACAGGCTAATCAGGAGGAAAGAGAGCCCTAATCATAATCTTGAACGATTGTTCAAGGCTACACAGTCAGTGAAGTAGCTGGGCGGGGAACCTAGGCTTCTGAATTTGCTACCTGTGTATTCTTCCCTACTTCTCATAAGAGGTAGGTCATACATGTGAAAAATGGGTCCCAGAGGAGCCAAATAACTAGCCCAAACTTAGGACTAATAATGGGTACAGTTGGATTTTAGAATACATGTCTCTTTAAAAAGTGTCCAATTTGATACATTATCTCTTACACTCAGTGATTTCTTAAAAAAAATTTTTTTTTGGCTTATATTTTTTGAGAATCTGCTGAATGCCATGGGCTATCTCTCAGAAAAGAAAGCTAGCTGCTAATAGTTACATATATTTTAATATTCTGAAAAGGATCCATGAACAAAGATGATGGGGGGGTGCAGTTTGCAGACCCTAGATTAGGACCAATGTTGTGTAGCAAATATTTAACCATTTGCTCTCTGTTTTAGTCAACATTTTTGCTGCTGAAACTAGAAGACCTGATTTTTTAAAAAAAAAAAAAAACTGCAATAGAGGAAAAGTTTATTTGGGGGCTCACAGTTTCAGAGATCTCAGCCCATAGACAACAGGCTCCATTCCTCGGGGATCGAGGTGAGGCAGGACATGGTGGAAGAGTGTGGTGAAGGGAAGCAGGTTACGTTATAATCAGGAAGCAGAGAGAAACTCCACCTGCCAGATACAAAATATATACACCAAAGGCATGACTCCCAGGGACCCACTTCCTCCAGCTACACCCTATCCATCTTCCATTACCACTCAGTTAATCCCATTAGAAGATTAATTCACGGATTGGGTTAAAACTCTTATAACACAATCATTTGTCCTCTAAACCTTGCATTGTCTCACATATGAGATTTTTGGGGACACCTCACATCCAAACCATAACACTCTCCTAGTACAATTCTGCTATGAATAAATATTAGTTGATTTTTGACCAGTAAAATGAAGTGAAATAATGAACTTGTAGTTCAGAACTTCACTTCTTTCTCAAGTGACATGAGAAACTTTCTGGCCAAATTTATCACAAGTTTGGAAGGCTACTACTCAATTTCTGTGCTATTTACAGTGAATGGCAATTGTCACAATTTACTTTAAGTCTTCATTATCAACATTTCTCTATCATATTCTTACGTCTGGATAATCCACAAACAGTAAATCAATCACTGATTTGTGGTGTTTACTAATTTCTGTAGTATTAATATTTCCACCTGGGCAATTTCAAGCTACCAACATGCAGTAGCATACCATTATACTTAATTTGTATACAATGACATAACCCTAAATGCATGGATAATAATAAACTATGGTAATTAGTAATTGAGAAGGTCTATGTATTTTTTACCTTTGTTTTTAATATGATGCATTTAATTTTAAGTTATTTAATTTATTTTGAAATAATGGTTGCATTTAACAACTGGCTTACAAAATTCCTGAAGATTTTAACAGTGGGTGCCTTTGAGCCAGGTATCAGCTATCTCCAAGACAGCCTCTTTCCCTAGTCTCTTAAAACCTCTTAAATTAAGACACTATCCTCCACTCTACTGACCTCTGTTCGATTTTCATGAGATCCCCAAGTCCACCTTTCTTACCTGTTTTCTTCTCTAGCTGCAACATATGAGATAAAACAGAAGACTTCCTGAGTCCAGCTTATTTCACTTAACATTGTCAAGTTCCACCCATTTTACTGCAAATGACATAATTTCTTTCCTCTTTATGGAAGAATAAAACTCCATTGTGTGTATATACCAAATTTTCTTTATCCTTTCATACATTAAAAGACCCCTAGGCTGGTTCCACAGTTTGGCTATTGTGAATTGTGCTGCTGTAAACATGGGTAGGCGTGTGTTGTATGATGACTTTAATTCTTTGGGATAGATACCAAGGAGTGGTATAGATGGGTCATATGGTGGTTGATTTCTATAGTGGTTGTACTAATTTACAACCACCAACAGTGTAAAAATGTTCTTTTCTCCATGTTCTCTCCAGAATTTATTATTATATTTATTCTTGATGTTTGTTATTCTGACTGGAGTAAGTTGTATTTCCTTGATTGATAAAGATGTTGAATCTTTTTTTCATGAATTTGTTGACCATTTGGATTTTTTTCTTTTGAGAAGTGTACCTATAATTCATGTGTTCATTGTTAATTGGGTTATTTATCTACTTTTGGTGTTAAGATTTTTGAGTTTTTTTTATATAGTCTGGATGTTAATACTCTGTCAGAGAGTAGCTAATAAAGATTTTTCTCCCATTCTGTAGGTTCTCTCTTCACATTCTTAATCATTTCCTTTGCTGTGCAGAATATCTTTAATTGGATGCCATCCCATTTCTTAATTCTTGGTATTATTTCCTAAGCTTTATGGGTCCTATTGAGAAAGCATTGCACCTCTATGTTGAAGGGTTGACCCTACATTTTCTTTTAGTAGTTTCACAGTTTCTCGTCTAATTCCTACATCTTTGATCCATTTTGAGTTGACTTTTGGACAGGGTGAAAGTTAAGGATGTAGTCTCATTCTTCTACATGAGGATGGGTTTTTCCAGCACTGATTTAAAAGGCTGTCTTTTCTCCAAGATATGTTTTTGGTACCTTTGTCAAGGATCAGATAACTGGGTATATTGGGTATCTGGGTGCATTTGTCTCTATGTTTTTTATTCTGTTCAACTGGTATATGTGCCTGTTTTTATTCCAGTATCATGCAGTTTTTGTTACTATAGTTCTGTGGTATTATTTAAAGTCAGGTATTATGATGTCTCTAGCATTGCTTTTTTGGCTTAAAATTGCTTTGGATATTCTGGGGTTTTATTCATCCAAATAAATTTTAGGACTGGTCTTTTCTAGTTCTGTGAAGAATGTCTTTGTTATTTTGATGGGCATTGCACTGAGTCTGTATATTGCTTTAGGCAATATGGTCATTTTCCCAGTATAAATCCTGCCTATACTGAACATGGAAGGTCTTCCCATCATCTTATGCTTTCCTCATTTTTTCACTGCTCTATAGTTTTCATTGTAAGGTCTTTTGCCTCCTTGGTTACATTTAACCCTAAGGTTTTGTTTTGTTTTGTTTTGTTTTGTTGCCTTGGTTAGACTATTGTGAATGGGATTATTTTCCTGGTTTCTTTCTCAGCAGACTCACTATTGCTGTATAGGAAAGCAGTTGATTTTTAAATGTTGATTTTGTAACCTGATAAATTGGCTGAATTTGTTTATTATCCCTAGCAGTATTCTGGTAGAGCTTTTTGGATTTTCTAAGTTTAGGATCATATCATCTGCAAACAGTGATAATTTGACTTCTTCCTTTCCTATTTTTATCCCTTACATTTCTTTCTCTTGCTTAATTATCTGGTTAAAATTCTTAGTAGTGTGTTTAACAGGAGTCATAGAGTGGACATCCTTGTCTTGTTACAAATTTTAAAGAAAATGCTTTTAGCTTTTCCCCATTCACTGTGACATCGGCTCTGGCTTTGTCATATATGACCTTTATGTTGTTGAGGTAAGTTCCTTTTATCCCTGGTTTCTTGAGCTTTGTTATCATGAATGGATGCTGAATTTTGTTGAAGGCTTTTTCTGAAGCTATTAAGATGTCTATGTGATTTTTGTCCTTATTTCTATTTAATTTACATATGCTAAACCATCCTTGCAACCATAATAAAAACAACTTGGTCATGATGTTGTTGAATATAGTTTGCTAATATCCATTAAGGATTTTTTGCATCGAAATTCATCAGGATACTCTTCTGCAGTTTTGTTTCTTTTATGTGTTACCAGATTTTGTTATCAGGATGATACTGACTTCACAGAATGAATTTAGAAGGCTTCTATCCCTTTTTATTTCATGAAATGATTTGAGGAGCATTGGCATTAGTTCTTCTTTAAATGTCTGCTAAAATTCAGCTAAGAATTCATCTAGTCCTAGGCTTTTCTTTGTTGGAAGGCTTTTTATTACTGTTTCTAGCTCATTGCAAGTTTTGGGTCTGTTTGGTTTTCCAAGTCCTCTTGATTCAATTTGGCAAGTCATATGTCTTGAAATGTGTCTATTTCTTGTAGATACTCCAATTTGTTGGAGTATAAGCTTTCAAAATTGTCCTAATGAGTCTCTCGATTTCTGAATGACTGTGGTGATTTCTTCTTTTTCAACCCTATTTTTATTAATTTGGGCCTTCTCTCTTTGTATTTTGGTTTATTTATTTATTTATTTATTTTTTAAAGAGAGAGAGAATTTTTTTAATATTTATTTTTTAGTTTTCGGTGGACACAACATCTTTTTTTTTTTTTTTTTTTTTTTTTTTATATGTGGTGCTGAGGATCGAACCCGTGCCACATGCATGCCAGGCAAGAGCGCTACTGCTTGAGCCACATCCCCAGCCTTATTTTGGTTAATTTAGCTAAAGGATTTTCAATTTTGCTTATCTTTAAAAAAAACTTTTTATTTCATTGTTTCTTGTTATTTTTTTTTTTTTTTTTTTGCTATTCTCTATTTCATTGATCTTGGTTCTGATCTTAATTATTTCCTTCCTTCTATTGGTTTTTGAAGGGATTTATTCTTGTTTTTCAAGGGCCTTGAGAGGCATCATTAGGTTGTTATTTAGGACCTTACTGATTTTGTTATGTAGGCACTCATAGCTATGAATTTTCCTCTTAAAACCATTTTTATAGTGTCCCAGAGGTTCTGGTATGTTGTATCACTGTTCTTGTATGAATCTAAGAATTTTTAAATTTCTCCCCTGATTTCTTCTATCATCCGAATTGCATTCTTTGATCTCCACATGTTTATATAGTTTCTGTAGTTTTTTAAACGTTGATTTCTAATTTAATTCCACAATGATCAGATAAGATGTAAGGAATTATTTAGATATTTTTGTATTTGCTTAGAGTTGCTTTGTGGCCTAGACTATGGCCTATTGTGGAGAGGGTACCACAAGCACTTGAAAATAAAGTGAATTTTTGCTGATGTTGGATGAAATATTCTACAGATACCTATTAAGTCCATTTGATTTATAATTTTTTTAGGTTTGAAAAGTCTTCACTGAGGTTATGTCTGGATGACCTATCTATTGGTGAGAAACCTGTGTTGAAATCACCTAGACGTAGGTGAGAACTTCACTTGTTTCTTGAATGTTAGGGGTACTGGGTTCTATCTGAGTCTTTAAGTTGAGTAGTGTATGTTTTATGGAATTAGTTACACCAACCATTGAGAAAAGCCTCTTGCTTTTCCTGTTCAGGGAGATACAGCTTCGGGAGTAATGCCCCGTGTTCTCCTTAGTTGCTTTAAGTAATTTACCTTTTTAAAAATTCTTTTATCTCCTGATTGTGTTTTATTAGCTTTGCACTCACCAAGGACTGAACTCATTGCATTTAGTTATGAAAATATTATTGTTTTCTCCATTGAATGATTGGAAACTTTGCTAAAATTAATTGATCATAACACATGGGTTTATTTGTGGATTCTAAACTCTTACATTGATCTATATTTCTATCCATGGTGTCAACATCACACTATCTGAATTATCATTGCCTTGTAATGAGTTTCAAAGTCAGGGAATTTGAGTCCTTCTATTTTGTTCTTTTTTCAAAATAGTTTAGGCTATTCTGGGACCCTTGTGATTCTATATGAATTTTAAAACCAGGTTGTCAACTTCTACAGAGAAGACATTTGGGATTCTGATGGGAATTTTATTAAATCTATATATCAATTTGAGGAATTTTGCCATTTTAATACTGTTTAATTTTCCAACTTATAAACATGATTTTTTTTCATTTATCTAATAATTAGATACCATTTAATTTATTTCAACAAATGTTTTTTAGTCTTCAGTATATAAGTTTGTATGTGTGTGGGGGGGTGTTGTTTGTAGTGGGGATTGGACCATGGGGCACTTTACTGCAGAGCTATATTCCCAGTCTTTTTTATTTTATTTTGTGACAGAGTCTTACTAAGTTTCCAGGAATGTCTCAAACTTTTGAATAGCAGGGATTATAGGCATGCACCATCATATCCAACTAGCTTTGCATTTTTTCCCAAATTTATTCCTAAATTGTTTTATTTAATTTATGATCACAAATGGTATGTCTGCCATTTCATATTCATATAGCTTATTACAAGTATATAGAGATCTGATTTTGTATCTTGTAACCTTGCTGTGAACATTAGAAGAATTCTTTACCGAATCCAAAGTCATGTCGATGTGTACTAGTTGTTTTATAGTTTCAGTATTTCAAGTTAATTTTTGTATAATATGCAAGGTAAGGGTCCAGATTAATTCTTTGGCATGTAGTCCTCCAATTGTTCCAGCTACATGAGTTGAAAAGACAATTATTTTAGATAGTAGCTTTTTAATGGATCCCTTAACATTTTTTATATATGTCTTTTAAGAATAGAGATATATTGGCTTCTTTCTCCATTCTGGGTGACTTTTACATCTTCTTCCAGTTCAGATGCCTTGGATAGAACCTCTAATACAGTGTGAAAGTGAAAATGGATGACCCCAATTTTTTTTAACTTATTAATTTATTTTATAGCAGAATTCCTTTTGACATATTCTACATAAATGGAGCACAACTTCTCACTCCTCTGGCTGTACATGGTGCAGAGTCAGTCCAGTAGTGTAATCATACATGTGCATAGGGTAATAATGTCTGTCTCATCCTACTGTCCTTCCCATCCCCACTCCCTCCCCCCTCCCCTCACTGCTTCTACACAAAGAAGTTCCTTCATTCTTCCCTATCCGCCCCCCACCCCGCCCCGCCCCACTATGGATTAGCATCCACTTATCATAATCCCAGTTTTAAGGGGAAAGCACCCAGTCTTTCACAATTAAGCATCATTTTAGTTGTGGAGTTTGCAGAGGTGCCTCTTATGAGGTTGAGATTACATCCTTCTATTCCTATTTTTCTGAAAGGTTTTTGTTGCCGTTGTTTTCAGTTTTTTGAGGGGGATGAAGAGGGTCTTGGTATGTTGTTCAGGCTGGTCTGGACCCCATGGGCTTAAGCTTCCTCCCGTTTCAGCTTCCCCGGCAGCACGGACTACAAACATCCACTACCACACCCAGCTGAAGTTTTTTTAAAATCGTGTAGGGATATGGGATTTTGAAAAAGGCTTTTTCATACTCAGTTTGTTTCTGTTTATAAAGCAATCCTAAATGAAAAACATATGCTGCTCACAAAGTTACTATTATAAATAAAATTGTCAAGAGGGATAATGTAATAATATCCTTTTACAGATGAGTATCTTCAAATTAAATCCCAAGCGGCAAAACTATCAGAAAACGGTATGCACTGATAATTTTGATAGATATTGCCAATTGTCTTTCCTAGGAGTTAATGTATATTCCTACCAGTAAAGTAAGATAGTTCTTATTTCTCTTTGGAGTTATAAAATAACATATTTTTAAAATTTTTTTTTAGTTGTATATGGACACAGTATCTTTATTTATTTATTTTTATATGATGCTGAGGATCGAACCCAGTGCCTCACACGTGTTAGGCAAGCACTCTACCACTGAGCCCCAACCTAGCCCAAACATAACATATTTTTTAAACTTCAAGATTTTCCCAGTCTAAATTTGTAAAAAGTAGCATTTCAGAATATTGAATTTCATCTCTCTTTTTGCTTTTTTCAAAGTTCAGGAAGTCAGTATTCAGGTGAGTTTGGCTCATCTCTTATTACGAGTGGCAGTGACAATCTTTTCACATGCTGAAGGAAGATTTTATATATGATTTTCTGTTCCCATCTTTTGCTCTTTTCAACATGTGAGAATTTCTTGATTTTTAGGAACTTGTTTTTAGGTATCAATCTTGGTGGTAGTGGGGCATTGTTGTTTTTAGCTTTGCTTTTGGTGTATATAAAAACCAATTTTTTGTCTTATCTTAAATGGTGACTTTTTTTCCCATTTCTAATGGGAGTTTAGGAATGTACTTATGAAAAAATGTAGGCAACCCTGTAGTTTTATCCATTTCTTTGACAAGTCACTTTGTGCAGAGATGTCTACAGGTGGAGAGACTTATAAAAATAGCAAGCTGATTGCTGTTCATTTCTTTTGCTAAAATTATACCATGTAACCTGACACTTCTTCTTTCACTGGTGTGGGTAAAGGTACGGTCCTCCCTCACATTGTACCCTTTGGTGTGAGCAGAGCAACCCAGGTAGAAGAGCAAGGTGATGCTATGTGTTGTGTCTGAGTTAAAATGTGCCTTTGGATACAAGGTCACCTTGAAATAATTAGTGGCTTCATCTCAGATAAAATGCTCCTTACCTCTGAGGGAACCTTCATCACTGACATTTAGCCAAACCAAAGGAGTCCCCGGGGCCTGATTTATAGGCTCTCCTCCAATCTGGAGACAGCCAAGAGATCAATTTCTAATTTTCTTGAAGTTTCTTGAATTGCTGAGTTCACAATATTACTTAAGCACTTCAACTGACCGGTACTTTATCTAACCGGTACTCCCAATGTCCTCAAGAAATGACACCATCTCACATGATGTTGCCACATACAG